TAAATTGTAAATTTTTCCAGATATCGATATTCAAATCAGCATCTACAGCAGTAGGTGGTGAAACAACTAAACCCGCTAGTAAGAATATAAATCTTTTCTCTTCAAAGCAAAAGGTATATCTCAAGGAGTAAAACAAATCTCAAGTCGCCATAGGAAACGTTCAATACAATATAGCTTCTATGTTATACAATCATAAGTCATCATCAAGACTGTCTACTCTTAGTCTACTCTTCAGTAACTTCATTATGAAGATCGCATATAAGTGAATTTTTAATTGGTACTTCAACTAGATTTTACCTCAGATTTTACAGAAAAAGCAATTTTTACCACTAATCTATCAATATAATTTAAATCGTAAACAACGCTGTTATTACTTAAAGTAACCAATACACATTTGTAACATTATTGTGTTCTCTGTTCTGTGAGCATGTATGGATTTACGTAAAATAGATGTATATTGTCCTAGCTGTCTTAGAGAATACTTTTTTACTCGCTTGATTAGCAGTTAAAACTCTTAGCTTTCTCAATTTATATTGAACTGCTATAGTGCTATATATATCGGCAAGAATTGATCAATAGTTCTAAAATGTTTAATTAGCTATATTTTAACAACCCTTATAACCCTTATTTCCTTTAACTGCTTCGTGATAGTAACAGTGATGGCTCTTCCATCGTCAGTCACCTAAAATTATTTACCTCACTGCTGAAAAATAGATTTAACTCATCAATTACTGATATAAAGATTTATTGCAATTTCCAATCTCTCTTTATTTGGCTTTATTTTCACCATCCTATCCGATGTAAAATACGTTCTAAATTATCCAGCATTCTTTGTTAAGTAATACAATATCACCAAACAATAACGGATTCTGTTTACTTGCATATAAGGTTACTCTGGAAATATAAAGATTAATTAATATTATTATTCATTATTTTATTATCTCAATAAGGTAAAATTACTAGCCCCTTATGACATGAAATTTCGGCAATATATTAAGCGTAGAATAATTGTATATCAGTAGAATCCACTTTAATAAAGCTTTGACTTATTTTCTATTTACAAAATATCATATCGAAATGTTTCAACGAATGAAATGATGTTGACAGATAATGCTTAGCGTTCTAATTGATTTTCAAATAGGGCTATAGAAATAAGCGTTTATTGGTTTAATTAATTAAATACCAGATGCGAGAGTAAATTTTATTCATATCACATCACGTGATGAGATATTTTAGTTGAAAAAAGAGTTTTTTTATACTGATTAAAGTTAATTGTTAGTAAAAGTGAGATACTGTATCTTAAAGTAGACATGTTCTTAGTTCTTAGTATGATTTCTTTCATGTAGTCTTTTATTAATCAATCACAGTAGTGCAAAAAAACATTGAATACCATCTAATAAAATTATAACCTTACAACAAGAATCTTCGTAAGCAATTAGTATCGCTTAACCCTCAGTCTCCATCCACAACAAATATATTTATTAACTGTCTCTATTTTGAGATTCTTTATTATAACATGCGACTGGTGTACCATTCAGATGTAATATGTAATCTTCAAATGTTAGAAAGGTTTTTCCGCATAAGATATATTGCTCACGATTAATTATACCCGTTTATGAATCCATAACTATTAGCGATTGTAGTATGATTTAGATTATTAGAATTCTATAAAAAATACCATAATTCCTGTGCTTTCTTTTACAATGCCAATCATTACCGTTATGAATGTAGGCCAACTTCGATTCTCAGTATGACAAGTTCATACTTTGAGGGATATTATTATATCTTTCACAATTCACAAAGATAAATTCAATTCACTGCTTTATTTGGATAAAAATTACAAATCACTCTTCTACAAGACTAGTATCCCTCAGTCAATCTTCTGTGCATATACGCGTAAAGCGCATAAAAGCTAAAAAATTACAAAAATCGATATTTTTGTAGCATTAGTTGAGAAATAGACAGATGCTCGGTAGTGAAAAATGATCTAGATCTTACTTTGTTTATTATAATTATCAGTGATGATTATGCTAGACTGAAACCATAATAGAGACCCATTAACAATTTAAGTCATCAATTGTAACGACTGTCATGATCCCAACTTATAATAACTAATTGTTCCTCTTGACTTCTAGCTATGATAGTTTGCTCGAAAAAATAATGTCCTAGGCCCTACTTCACTTACGCTCAAGATGATTCCGTTATGCTAGAGCTAAAATTGAGATCCTTTTGATATAAATCTTCTACGGTAACAACGGCCATGATCTAGATCTGCGGTAAAAAGATCCTCTTGACCTCTGGCCATGTGCGAAGATAACCCCAACTCGATTGTATAGTACTAAAATTTAATTGGATAAAATTGAGATCCTTTTAATAGAAGTCTTCTACGGTAATAAAGTCAATGAACACAATCAACTCTAAAAGTTCTCTTAACCTCTGGACCATGCATGGAATTGGCTCTGACTCGACTATAGTTCTCTTAAGTAGTCGAAATGATCGCACTAGATTAAATAAATAAAACTGAACTTGAAATTTATCAATAGATATATATATGTAAACGTAAAACCACTGCAATTCTCAAACGTATTCGCACACAAGTATGTGTAATAAGCACTCAATAAATAAAGACCTAAGCTATAACTTACCACTAACTAGCGCGGTCATCTCATTACAACTATATCATTGATATCTAATAAATCGAATTGAGTCCCACGAGGAAGACTTTGTAAGCAAATATTCATATTTACAGTAAGCTTTACTAGGTCAAAATGACCATGCTAAACTAAAACTAAAGCTTGAGACTCATTAATATCTGTATCTACCGTCAATACTGCCATGGGAATGCTGCAAAGCATCAATTCTCTATTTCAAGTCTGACTTCAAAATTTATGGCTATGGCCATTGATTTCTATAGCTCGATAATCGTACAGTATCACTTATATCTAGTGAATAGCTAAATCCTACGAGAACTATGGAAGTAAATATTTAGTCTTAAACTGTCAAAATGACCATGCAAGACTAATACTAAAGCTTGAGACTCATTAATACATGTATCTATCATTACCATTACCATGCAGAATGCTGTAAAGTATTCATTCTCTATTCCAAATCTGACTTGAAAAATTGATGCTACGACCATTGATTTCCATAGCTCACTAATTGTACTGTATCACTGATATCTAGTGAATCTAGCTGAGTACCACGAGTAGGACTTTACAAGCAATATTTATATTTACACAGTCGAAATGACCATATCAGAGTAAAACTAAACTTGAGATTCATTAATACATGTATCTATTGTCGATACTGCCATGGAGAATGCTGCAAAGTATCAATTTTCTATTCTAAATCTGACTTGAAAAATTGTGGTTAAGACCATTGATTTCTATAGCTGATTAACTGTACTGCATCATTGACATTTAGTGAATAGCCGAGTCCCACGAGGACTTTGGAAGTTAATATTCCTATTTACCCTGTCAAAATGATCATGTTAGACTAAAAATAAACTTGAGACTCATTTATACTGTCATGCAGAATGCTGTAAAATGTTAATTTTCTATCCCAAATCTGACTTAAAAAAATTGATGCCTTGGCCATTGCTTTCTATAGCTCATTAATTGTACAATATCATTGATATCTAGCATATCTAGCTGAGTCCTAAGAGGTGGACTTTGGAAGCAAATGTTCATATTTACAAGGTCAAAATGACTATACTAGACTAAAACTAAACTTTAGATTCATTCATACATGTATTTCTTGTCTCTACTATCATGCAGAATGCTGTAATATATTAATTCTCTATTGCAAATCTGACTTGAAATTATGGCCTTCGCTATTAATTTCTATAGCTCACTAATTGCACTGTATCATTAGTGAATCTAGTTGAGTCCTTCGAGGTTGACTTTGGAAGTAAATATTCACTTATACGGTCAAAGTGACTATACTAGACTAAAACTAAACTTTAGATTCATTCATACGTGCATCTCTTGTCTCTAATATCATACAGAATGTTGTAATGTATCAATTCTCTATTGCAAATCTGACTCGAAATGATGGCCATGGCCATTAAATTCTATAGCTCACTAATTATACTGTGTCCCTAGTGAATCTAGCCGAGTCCTACGAGGTTGACTTTGAAAGCAAATGTTCATATTTACACGGTCAAAATGACTACACTAGACTAAAACTAAACTTGAGATTCATTCATACATGCATTTCTTGTCTCTGCTACCATGCAGAATGCTGTAATATATCAATTCTCTATTGCAAATTTGACTTGAAATTATCGCCATGGCTATTAATTTCTATAGCTCACTAATTGTACTGTATCATAAGTGAATCTAGCTGAGTCCTTCGAGTAGGACTTTGGAAGCAAATTTTCACTTATACGGTCAAAATGACCATACTAGACTAAATGAAATTTAAGATCCATTAATATACGTGTATGTATGTATCTTTACGATTGCCATCATTGCTATGAAATAGCAATTCTAAATTCCGAATGTGACTGATATAATTATGGCTGTGGCCGTTGACTTCTAGATGCTTGTTACTAAACCTAGCGTTGTCCCTTGGAAGGACCTGGGAATACAGCAAATGGTATGACGTATGCATAATCATCTGGACATGCAGTATTTATACTGTACAAGAGTACTATACTGAATAGTACAACTCCATGATTATGCCAGCAATCATGCCCCTCCCCCCCCCATTCATGACTGATAATGGATACAGTACAGTATCGATCAGAATCTGAAGTGAGCGCTGACTGACTTTATACTGTACTGTACTTGTTGGATAGTTCCGACAGCCTGCAAGATATAAATAAAAGAACATTATTTACTGTTGGTGGTCTATGGCTATTACATGTAAAATTATCCATTCTAACACTACATCTACAATGTAGAGCATTAAATATCCCTGCTGTATAGCAAGCTTACAGGAATAGGCATCCTTCATTTGTATAGTTATCGAGGATTTCCGCTGCTCAATATAATGACATGGATCATCTAAAATGGCCATCGAAATATGTCACGTCTAGTTTATCTGCAGCAACGACTTTGCATAGTTTATTTTGGACAACAGCTACCAACTATCCTCATAATCTTGCGGTAGTTTATGATGACCTCGATCAAAAATGCTTTCTGTCTTATCAACAGCTTGCAAACTTTTCTGATCAAGTAGCAAATGCGATTGAAGACCTATTTGAGCATCAAACTGTAGATGAGGTAAGAATGCTTTCTTCAATCAGGCACAACTGCAAAAGTTTATCCTTATAAAGTACAATGTACGTATTAGGCGTCATAAGTGTTCTACCATCAGCACCTTGCATCTTGGGCAGCTTGATTTCATAACCTACTCATTACACCAAATAGCAGTTGCATTCACAATAGTACTTGAATTTTATTGATGATGAAATGATTACTGTTGTTCAACAACACGCTTGTAGTCCTAATCGTACTTTCAATGAAATTAATTCTACATTGACAACATGCTAATACAGTAGATGCAAGATCATTTGAATAGAGTAAATTGCATAAATCTGGCTAATTTGAACTGGCCATGATACATACGTAAATTCATGCAGGACTGTATTTTGGGGCAGCTTTTAAATGATAATGAAACAGCTACTAACGTAACTAATATACTCGTGTGTGCACAATTTGGATGCTACGAAATGCGTCATGATAGGTGATCGGATTGTACTCCAAGCAAGATCTAGCCCTTTTGCCGGCACTGCTAGGGTAATAAAGCAATCATACTATAATACTTAAGCAAGCCTTGGTTTTACCAGCAGTATACTACGGCTTTCACATTATAACAATGTAGTATTTGCAAATGCAATTGCTATTTAATTTATATTTATATTAAATGATTTCTCAGCATTTTGACTTCATCTGCTGCGTACACACCGATCGACCTCAGTTTACCTACATGTGATCAAGATGACTGGCTGGATAAGTTACAAATTTCTACTGTTATAGTTGAAGAAGATTTAATCCAGGTATGATCAGTTTTCAATTAAAATTGTACAATTATGTCCATAGCTAAATCCATTAACAGAATAATAAATGTCAACAGTATATTGCACTATGAGTATCGAAAGAAAATTAAAATCATGCTATATATCATCATTTACTTATAAGTTTTAATTAGTTCATTAATTCATATACAAAAGGACTTCAAACGCCTAAAATGGACTGAAGATGTTAGAACTAAGAAAATTCATGGCCCCAATTCCATTAATTTGCTTTTAGTTAGGAGAATGAGTCATACTAATCAAGAAAGAAAAAGTAATATTCCTATTTTCTATTGTACCAATGCATTGCTTCAATCTATCCAAAGTAATTTAAGCAGAAATTTACCTTATTTTACTTACAGCTCTATCACTAGCCTATGTCTTACCAACGTCAGGAACTACAGGCCGACCAAAGAGAGTATATACTCCACACCAGTGTATCATGCCAAATATTATCGACTTTGTGTAAATGTTTTACTAATAACTAACGCAATTGCTTCTTTGACGTCCACATCCAAAATTAATTGTAATGATGTAATGTTATATTAATTTTATGTATGTTAAATATTGATAATCTTTACCTTGCAGAAACCAATTCAAAATAGATAATTCCGATATAGTCTTTCTTGCTTCACCATTAACTTTCGATCCATCTGTCGTTCAAGTATGTTATACTATGATTATTCTAACAAGACTGTAAATAAACCCATAGCGAAATTTTGTTATCAGATAGCATGGACAAATAGTTGCCGTGTTAAAATTTTTCAGATCTTTATTGCCTTGGCTACCGGAGCAGCAATCCTTATTGCACCTAATGAGATTAAAATTCGCCCGAGACAACTATGTAAAGTGCTATTTCATCGAAATAAAATAACCGTTTTTCAAGTTAGTTTTAATAATTGATATCTACTCGTATATTTAAAGACGCGTAACAGGCTGCTATCAACATGATATTATTAGCAAACGTAATTTTCAAACAATGTCTGCTTTTATGTAGGTAACACCATCGATGTTATATAACTTTGGAAATGATCTTATAAAATCGGATATTTTAAGCAAGTCCACTTCACTAAAAATATTAGCCATAGGTGGTGAACCATTTCCAGAAATGAAATTCTTAAGGAATTGTTATCATCCGGCAGTACGTCGTACGAATTTTACATTTGTTACTGGTAGATTAAATGATTATCTTAAACTCTTGTTAAGTACTTAAGTGTTGCCTCATTATAGAATTTTTTTCTTAAAACTTTCACTTATTGTAGTGCAAGGTGCAAATATTTAATCTATATGGAATAACTGAGGTTTCAAGTTGGGCAACTTATTATCGTGCTGATCTAATCTCAGATGATAATATACCACTCGGCTTACCAATAACTGATACTATTTTAGAAATTTATGACGATAACGGTCATAAAATTAGCCAAGGAATGGGTGTGTTATGGATAGGTATATAACAATAGAATTAATTTTAACCAACGATTGCCCAAATTTGTGTAGATAGATATACAGTATCATAAATAGTTACTGGCAACGTAATAACGCGATAAAAAATTTTTTTATCTTTAGGTGGCAAGCGAAGGATATGCTATATTAATGATGAAAATTTTATTTGCGATAAAACCATGAGATCATCTGGCGATTATGTCAGAAAAGATGAAAATGGATTTATATGGTACATAGGTCGCCGTGATTGTCAAATTAAGCGACAAGGAAAGAGGATAAATTTAAAGTCCATCAAAGAGGTGACGTATTTACAGTATTTAGCATTTTTAACGATACAAGTTAAGAATTGATTAGAAACCGTTGAATTATTCACTGACATTTACAAGTAGACTTCCATAAAATCATTTCTTATATAGGAAATATTGCGAAAGATGCCTTCAGTTCTGAACTGCCATTTAATTGCAGATGAAAACAAGCAATGGTGTCGACTGGTAGCATTTATTACTACTTCTTTAGATCGTTCAGACTATGATGAATATAGCAAGACAGTAATTGAAATTAGAAAAAATTTAAAGGGCGTCCTATCGACAAATTCTAATCCTGATGATGTACACGTAGTAGAGCATCTACCATTGACCAATAATGGTAGTGAAGATTATAAAAGGCTACCTGCAAATATTGTAATTAATTTATTAGAAAATATTTCACTAATGATAAGTTACTTACATTATTACAATAGGCAAGATCGATGACAAAGCTCTTTTGCAATATCACCGCTTAAACTTTTATGCCGATTATAATCAAAGTCTCCTTCAATATATTGACACTATATGGAAGGTGCAGCGTATTAACCTAAATTGATTTAGTTAATATTTTTATTTCTAAGATTGTGTAGACATTTTAATGCATGCTATATCTCAAATTATAGAAATGCACTAATTTAGATGAACAGATCGAACCTATTACTGCCGATGAAGCAACATTTTTAAGTAATGGATCCTCGATTAATGCTGTTAGACTTGTCAACCTTATTGAAGATTGGTTAGAATCTAAGGTAAGTCAATGAAAGACGCTTCTTGCGTACGTCTTAATTAAACACCTTACCATACTGTCTGTGATTTTATTATTGACATAAGTTGCTTTTATATTGTATTGCAGTACAGTGGTTTAAAGCTACCTAAACTTTTGGATTTTATCCTTCATAAAAGTTTTAAAGATGTGTATAGATACGTTAGTGGAGAGATTGCAAACTTCATTGAATTGAACAACGAAAGCATTGCAGCTATTGAAGATAGTAAACGAGATAAACGACAACTGATCGACAATAACAGTGATTTAGAAACTAGTAGCTCTAAGCGGATTAAATTTATTCTTCCTTCGATAAATAATCAAATCAATAATATGATAAGATATGTTAAAAAAGGCAATATAATGGAGGCATTCGGGTAATTATTTCTATTCATTAAATAGTATTTTATAGCTACAATTATTCTAATTAAAATGAACTCATTCATGTTGTATCTCATGGTTTATTAAGCAATAGTAAAGAGGTGAAATGCGACGTAATTCTCGATATTTCAAATAAACTAAAGGAGAGATGGAGAGCAAAACTTTACAAGTGTATTGACGCTTCACCTTTAGTGGTAATTGATCGAGACAACAGGTTTATAGAGCAATATGGAAACTTCTAGTTTATATTGTCATTTTTGATCATATTCTGAAATTTCTTTAAGATGAGTTCGTAGTTTGATAGTATATTTCAACTCTATGCGTAAACATGGAAAAATACATTTATTAATAGGCAAATCTTAACTTTTTCCTGTTATCATATGTTTTTCAGCAAATTCGTTTACATCGGTAGCCATTTCCATATTTTTGCTGCTATAAATATGGATTCGGGAGAAATCCTATGGGAGACAATATTGGGTGATAGAATTGAATCATCCGCCACGGTCTCTGTTTGTGGAAAATATGTTATTGTAGGTAAGGAATTCTCATACATAAAAGTTAAGTAGTTATGTATTATATTGATATTAGAGTTATACTGTATATTTCATAAATTATAAACGGTAATTGTGACTTTAACAATGACTGTAGGCTGTTATGATCATCGAGTTTATACGTTAGACAGAACTACTGGGGCTATAGTATGGCAATTTGTCACTAATGGACCCGTAAAATCATCTCCGTTGACGGATCCAGAAACTGGTCTAATTTGGATTGGATCTCATGATCACTATGTTTATGCCCTAAACATTACAGTTAATTTGCATACAGTAGTAGTCTATATTGCATTTTGATTGGGTTAGATCGCCCAGAATGAACATTTAATTTATTTGTTTGTATTAGGGAAAGTGTGCTAGATTTAGGATTGATTGCAAAGATGGATCTTGCTTTTCATCACCTTGTCTTGGCACCTCACCACGCTTGCTCTACACGGCTACATTAGCAGGAACTATACTAGCAATTGATCCTGTAATTATCTACAGTATACGCGCGTATAAATTGGGATATAAATGAGCTTACTTATTAATTATGAATTATTTCTACTATCGCTGCAGAATTATATAACTTTCTTTCTGTTCGATATCTTCAGGACAATGGAAATATTTTTTGGCAGTTTCATTGTTCTCGGGCAATATTCTCTTCTCCTTGCGTGATTCCGGCCGGTATTTGTGTGGGTTGTACTAACGGTACAATTATTGCTCTTGACAATGAAGGAAGCGAAGTAAGAAATATGATTACTATTCGATAAATCATTTTGGTAGCTATGCACTTGTATGTAATCATATATTTATTTACGTAATCGAATTCCGCTTTTCGCATAGCTGTGGCATATTACATGCAATCAACCGATTTTTTGCTCTCCTGTATTTCATAAAGACCGCATTTGGATTGGTTCACATGAATCTTGCGTCTACTGTATATCCATTTTTGGTAAAATTTTATGGAGAAGGGAAACAACTAGCCCTGTATATTCTACACCTTTCTTGCATAATCTAGGAAGCCAGAACGATCTGTTTTTAATAGTATGTAGTACTGATGGTACCATATACATAATGAATGCATTGAATGGTCATGTAAAAATTCGCCATCATTTGGGTGGTCAGGTTTTTTCATCGCCTGTTGCAGTAGGCGATCGTTTTCTTGTAGGCTGTAGAAATGATTATTTACATGCTTTCCAGCTGTCATAAACAAACCAACATTTGATATAGCTATTAAGATGGCATGCTTTAGAAAGAGTAACTATCGATGTAGTTAGTTTCTAACTATAAATACTATCAATACGTAATACTTTAATGTACCGCATCATTTAATCATTATCTGATAATGCTATAGAATGAATTACTCGCTAGTTACAGATACAAATAATAACTAAAAACAAAAGTCTAATTCTGTATAAATTATTTAAATGAATAATGAGAGATATTAGTTATAGCTGCTGTTACGAAAAACTTAAAAATAAGAGTTCTAAGGTCACATAAAATCATCAGCATGATAAATTCATCTAATCTTGAAATATACTTCGTAAATTTGTTACTTATACCAATATAGAAAACTTTTAAATGGTTCTATCGATAGACTGTATATCGACATTATATCTTTACTATAAAGTAAATTTTTCCTATGCGTGTATTTTACTCAAACTCAGACTTTTTCGTATTTCATGCTTACTCTGTGTTAATAGTAAAGCTTTTAAACTAGGAGTTGTACATCGTAGTTTTTGTGTAAAAAAGGTGCAGGCATGAGAAGTGTTTATAAAAATATCAAATAAAACTTTTATCAAATATAGTGTATTAAAGTCTTATCCTGCAATAGCCTGGATTACTTTTACATCTACAATGAACGATATAGCATCGTACCATCTTTCATATTGATTTAGGTAATTAATTATTGTGCTTAAATTGTATATTCTGCAAGGGTATAAATATTACTTTGGCGAATATTTGGGCATCTTACCTGAATTAAGCTTTAGTTTGCGTATAAAATGATCAGGTACATTTTTTAATGAGCTCATAAGTATATTACTAAGAATTAGCAGAATATACATATTGTATGGTGCACATATTTCAAGTTCACGATTTACGTTCTTAATAATTGATTGCATATAGTTTATTTAGTTAATTAATTTCTGAAGGGAGAATTAAGCAACACTGCAGTAAAAGTTGCCTATAGCTTTATTAAGCATGAGGACAAAATACGAAGGTTTGAATTCATATTTCTCGATTACTTATAGACAACTAGAATTTTTATAAAATGAAATAAAATACTCCATATTTGGCTCGTAGTCAAGTCAACAACTCTGTGTTTACTTTGTTAGCTCTTACTTAATAACAACCAATCAAAGACATGTATAAAGAAGGCGAAGAAAATGGTAAGTAATAAAAACCAATGTTTATACAGTCCTGTATGTTTTTTTGATCGGAAAAATACACCACAATAATGTTCTTTTCTTCTGTCTATCAAGATTTATCGTTCATGAGAAGATTAATCATTTGAATTATATGCTGAATTTAATTTTCTGTCTATGAAATTATTGGGTAAAGGTTTTATCCAGCAGAATTTTATGAAATAAACAGTTGATTATTTTTACAGTATAATCTGATTTGAAGTAATACAATCAATTTTAAATTTATTGATAGTAATTCTCATTTGATAATATTAGTTGACATTAGTTGACATATACCATACCGGAGGTATATAAATTGCCTAGTAATAAATTATTTTTAATTTCATCTTGCTAAGAATATCATACTCCGATTGCTCTCATATTACTCCGGCTAGAAAAACCGCATGCATAATTAATCAGCTTTCTCTTTTGTTAGAAAAATCAATTATTTTAATTACAGTCTGATCTGAGCATTTCTGAATTTTTGTTTAATACTAAATCAAGAACTTTGTTATACTAATTCTTGCCTAATTGTAATTAATAAATGCTCGGTAATATAGGTGGTATTAGGTAGCCAAGTTGCTTTCAATAATATCGCAATTTAATTATTCTCAAGATGCTTCGAACTCAAAAAACTGCCGGCGTTTTTGCTCTTTCTTATGTATTGCTGCGAAACTTATTAATGAAAGTGCAATTTCATTATAATTCACAATCATTCCTGTGTTTTGTTTAAGGCCAACAATTTTGTTTGTGCTTATTCTTACTTAGCTAATAATGTAGGAAGTAGAAAAACTTATCAGGTGTATAAATTGCTTTTAGTAATTCCGGTATATTCTAGTGGTATCATCGATTTCTCATTTCTTAGGATAGAAAAACCGCATACTACATCACTTTTATCCCGTTTTATTCTTCATTATAGAAATAATCGTTTCCATACTATGGAATTGAAATTACTAAAATCAAACTAGACCATCTGATGCTTAATTATGGCCCATAATATCTTTAATGGTATATAGTTAATTGCCGTATGTCAATATATGAAGATTAATAAAGTAGAAAGAACTATTAAGATCCACACATACAAAAAAATCAAAATATTTTGTATACTATAAAATAGGATAATAGGCAACGATATTTTCATCTTTTATCCAAATGATCTCTGCTCAAATTTTTTATTTTGGGGGGGGGGGATTGATAACTGATCTATTTCTGAGTTTGCTTTAATTTCAAATCAAACAATTTCATATAGAGTGATATCAATTCTCATTGGATAATTATTAATCTCTGCATTACACTATAGCTAAATAATGAAAATCGCTGTTAATCAATTGTGTTTATATAGTCTCATTTGCTATTTAATTGGAAAATAGCTTGCAATATGGGTTGTCACTCATTTTTATCCTACTATTGAGGAAAAGCAACCATTTCAATTATATTCTAATTTCAATATCTTAAGTGTTAAACAGAAGGGGAATACGTTGTTATTTAACTGTTGTCTCCATCGTTTCAACTTGATTGAATTAAACAAAAGATATTGAAGCATTTCCTTTATTCTACCTCGGTAAATAGTAACGGTAAATAATACCAATGATTGTCGACACTTTAGCATTCATTTTTCAATATTTAATACTATAAAAATGAATGATTTACTCTTTATCGCCATATATAATCATCAACCCGTTTGATTGAATACTGTAATGCAAAATGGCGTCCATATGGTTTGTGTTGATTACTATCGTATCCAAGGTAAAAAATAATAATTTTTGTTGTTTATGAAAGTAAAAAATCTTCTGTCGTATCTACAGTATGCATATGCTCTTCCACACAGATATCCTATCTACAAGTAATCAAGTATGGAATAAACGAATGATTTTATTACAATTAATGTAGGAAATAATTTTATCGTCTTGATAACTTGGCATACAGCGTAAAAAAGAAGAAGAAATAATACGTAAGTCAGTTTTTGAAGGAATGGATAATTCTAGACAAACTCTAACTATCTTCCTTACCATCTTTCATTCCTTTTCGTGATATAATAATCTCTTAATTGACCTGTTTAATATTCTCAGTTGATGAATAATAACATTAGACAAATTAATACCATTAAGATTGACCATTTTTATAACTTTACTATCAAATTAAAGCGAATCGACTCCAATCCAAATATCTAGAAGTATTTCTGGTTTATTACTGGATACCACGATAGCTTTCGTAGCATATTACTATCTGCTCTATATACTTATACCAGTGTGAATTTACGCGTATAATATACAGATTAGTGAAGAGATAGCACTATTTTTACGCTCTATGCTGCGATGTCAATACATAGACACATTTTAGGCAATTGGCCTAAGATTATATGTCTATGTGTAAGTATACATGAAGAATAGGATGAAGACATCTATTTTTCATTAGAATCTGTAATAATTGTCTAGTCTCGCGCTGATCGTTTCTTTAACATTTTAACTTTCTTTAGATAAATTGAAAGTTAATCGATTAACAATCAAACAGGAACATTAAAAAGCCTTGAAGAAAACTTACTTTTAAGAATTGATAAGTTGACAACTAAATATTCAAGATTTAAACTATCCTCGTTATCATTTGCTAATGTTGCGATGGCTATTGATTGGAATAGACCATCGAATGCATCAGCACGATTTCGTCGTAGTCCTTTATTAATTGTTAACGAAAGTCCAACTATTCAAAAAGCCAAACAACGTAATATACAAGAAGAAATATCTCTCTACCAACGATTAAAAACGATCCAAATGGATGAGAAATATTGTATTAATAAAATCAATATTAATAAACGCTTAACGGAATACAAATTTCGTGCTACAGTAACTATGAGTTCTGATTTACAACCTCATCATCAGACATCTTTTCAGGATACTAATCATCAACGAAAATCAAAGTTTCGTCAACAACAGTACCAATCTATGCCACCTCCTTCTCCTAATGAATTTACACAAAGTGCTTTAACTCAGAATATCTTTCGTAGCCATAGTAAATATGGTGCTGAATGGTTTAATGACAATTTAGCCAAAGTTGTCTCAAAATGGAGAATTGATAATCATTACGATCGTTATAATCCACCTTTTGAGGAGACTTATGCTTATATCAATACTATGCCACATGCAAGACCACCATCATCCTTGGCTTCTTATTGGATTTCTAAAAAGCAACGCTCTAAAAAGCAAGCACTAATTAATTATGAATATAACCAGCGTTTATTAGAGCGTGAAATGCGTACTGTTAAATCAACATCACCTTAGAAATATATTTAATTAAAATATTCAAGGATAAGGTTAGTAAATACCACTAGTCTCATAAAGTAGTTTAATAGTATCGGACAACATCATTTTACCAAATTAAGTTAGATAGATCAGATATCCATCTTACATAGCCAAATCTTTCATGTCCCGACTACGATCTTAATAAAGAAAATACATTCAGTTACAACATTACTGCTGCATATAATTACCATTCCTGTTAGCTACAATTAATGAAAAGTCCTTGGCTAGATGATTTTAGGTATGATATGATTACTTTAATTTAAAAAGATCAATCTAGTATACTCAAGCATTTCATATCTTGATTAGAGGCCTATCGGAATGATAATATTAGGCTCAATGATTATGGATAGTATACTATCGCTTAAACCGAAAACATCAATCGAATTCGCTTAAGTATATTCTCATCTCGCTTCTAAACTTAATCAGAATATGTAATATTTGATAATGTCAGATACGTAGCTATTGACATACAGGTAAAAATAATCTACCCTATCTCAAAATTACTTTATGATATTTAAAATCAGGATGACAGAAATTCTACTATCGATTGCATTAAGTTGAAGCAAGATTCTGTCTGCATAGTTCGTGATTTGGTCTAATCAGTGTGTTTACACCGTTATGACTGAGCCTTATAAAGTAACACGATAGTATTATTAATAATTAATTCTATCCAGCCTCCTACTCATAGAGCATATGTGATAAGGAAATGTTTCAGTGAGCATTTTATGCCAATCGATCTATTTGCTAATGCAAAATAACAATCTTATGTGCTCGTACATAGAAGGATTTATTATAAGCATTTAAATCACAGAGACAGAAATTTATCACTACAATTGGGCCGTATAAAGTGAGACAATAAGGTTATTAATAACCAATTTTATCCAATCTCTTACTTATAGAGTAAATGTGATATGTAACTTTCGATAAAAATTTCATGCCAGTCGATCCGTCCGCTACTGCAAAATAGCAATCTCATATATACGAAAGGATTTGTCATGAGCATTTAAATTACGAGGACAGAAATTTAATAACCATTGAAATGTACTAAGATTATAATCCTATACTCGGTAATTTAATCTAGTGGGCTTGCTTTATACCTTATAATTTGCCCTTGGACGTAAAGCAATAGTGTTATTAATAGCATATATAAAAGTCAAACAGTTGCGTTAGAATGCTTTGCAATTTAATCGAAAAGGTTTATTTTATACTTTGTAACTTGCCCTTATAGATAAGATAATGACGTTATTCGTAGTTTTATTGCAGTTATACACAGAAATGAAATAAACTACATTCATATCCTTGGTAATTTAACATCATAAGTTTGTTGCATAGTTTATAAGCTGCTCTTAAACGGAAGAATAACAATGATGATATAGTAGTAAATTCTGTACAAATCGTACACAGAAATAAAGACTATGTTCATATGCTCAACAGTTTAATTTTATAGGTTTAATTTATATTTTATAACTTGACCTTTAACGTAAAGTGGCATTATTGTTAAGAAGTTTCGTCTAATTTATGAACAGTAAAAAAAAAAGATTACTGCTCTAGGCCCAGTAATTTGATCTGATAGGCTTGTTTTATACCTTGTAACTTGTATTTTAAAGTATCATAATCATATTTTTGTAGTAAATCCTATTCAAGTCGTTTACGTTTAGCATGTTTGTTGTAAATATGATGATGCAAGGCTATATTTACGTCCATAGTCATTTAGGTAAATGCATTTATTTATACTTTATGACGAGCTTGTATCAAATTTCTATTTGATAATGAAAATATTTCAAATATTTTACGCCAGCTTGTCCATTATTTGTAATAATGAAGATCTACATCTATTTACTAGCCTATTTTGAGGTACATGTAGTAGCTAATTCCTTCCTGTTACGTTAATCTTAGGGATTTTATCTAAATTTAGGGATTAGGTGATGGAAATCCTCATGATCATCATAAATACGAGGCTTTACTAGCAACATAATAACAGGTTTGACATAGAAAACTGGTAACAACAATCCTAGACATAATTTTGAATATGTTTAAATAGGTATAAAACTAAAGAAATGGGGGATAAAACTTGTGAAATAAATGATGGCTAACAGAACAGACTACATTTTAAGAATATGCAACAGGAAATATAATCGAGTCTACGGAATTACGTATTATGCTAACTATTACAGCTTAAAAATTAAACTGCTAGATATACAAATTATCTTTTAAATATTTCCATATCAACTCTACATTGCCAGCGATATTGTCCAAAATTTATCATATTTCGGCATTTAACAATTTCGAGTCGTTAAATTATCAGCAATTATAACCGACAGTATAAAATAAAATTATCTGAGGGCACGAATGGAAGTAGGATAAATCACAAGCAGTCAATGAATTCTTGCAAAAAGTTAATCGCGATTTTGTGCATGATTCCTAACTCATATATAACTCTTGATGCGTTTATTGCAGTTAAAAACCAAGAAAGAGTATTTTACGTCATTTAGTTATGGCCAATAAAATGAAGGCAAAACACAGCACCATATTGACAGCTGCTAGCTGCAGTAGCTGATATACAAATCCAAAGCTATTCTGTACGTATACAAACAGATAGATTTAAATTTATATAAATAGTCAATAGTCAAGATAAATGTAATAACCCTGATGAGGACTGGATTTAACCTGGCTTGAATGAATGGTAAAATTTAATGGCTGAATTTAACCGACAAAGAAGTTATTCAACCAAGAGATACTGGCCCAAATAAATCAAAATAGCTTCATATCACTTCTTCGAAGTGCTTGGATGTAACAGTTACTGGTATTACCGAAAAACATTTTACTAAATCAACTAGTTTTACTACCTCGATTTTACTGTGGTGATTATTTTTTGTTTATAGATCATTCTCTCCTATATCTAGTTTTAAATTTATTATACAATGATAAGATATCCTTTCTTGTTCGTATTTCATTAATCAAATCAATATTTTAGTATTAGATTGCCAATGTGCTATTATAAAGCTTGTCAAATTCTAATTCTTATTCATTATTTAAAGATGTAAAAGTCATATACTAATTATCATCATCACCCCTAGTTTTAATTTTAGACGATAGTTCCAAACAAATTTTATTACAAGAATATAATTCGTATTTCTCAATTTACGATACTAAATTCATTTATAAATTGTCATTATTACTGATTCGGTAAGTGGATTAAATATATTCCGATCTAGATCATAATATTAAATGTAGATGCCAATCTACTAATCTCAACAATTGCAGCACTTATACGATAGTTCAGCTCTGATAACAACCAAAAAATGCCTGTCTGATGAATATTGAGAACATGAACCCCTGTTTTTAAAGTATCGCTATAATTTGATGACAGATCTCTGCTTGCCACAGATGTACAATCTCCTTAGTAGATTCATGATTATGAATTAAAATTTCGACTTTCTTTCGTAAAATGAAATATTTTAGACAAAATCCTGTTTACTATAATTCTTAAATCTTATATTCTATGAGCCATTGGAAATAATTTATTATTAAAAATATCATTTCTACTTTAGCATTAACAAAAATTAAATTGATTGCGTTAGTGTGACTGATATAGGGTAACTATGAGTGAAATAGCAACTTAAAATTATGGTACCATACGTTTGCAAATTCGTTTCATTAAAATTGTGACATGATTACGTGAAATAAAAAATTTCTATTAACGTTGGCTCGGTATGCTGAATCCTTTATTGTAAATTTATTCTGAAACGCAATTTATCCTCGATAGCATGATTAAAATAATATAAATATTAAAAATTACTCGTACTTATCGATAACCATGAAAATATAGATTAATATACATCAATGCCTTAAACATGGACTTCAGTAAAACATTGAGAAGATGCCATTGCGCCCACAATAATGGATTCTAAGTAACAACGTAAATATATATATGTTATACATTAAATGATTGAGGACAAGATAGGTAATAGCCTATTCAATGGAATTTTATCATGAAACACAGATAATAAGACAGGCAGAATAAAATGTTAATGAACTAGTAATTCTACTACAACTACTTTTAATTATTAGTTTCTATGATATTATATTCTATTTCTACGTGTATTAAACATGGGTGAAATTAATTCACTTATGATAAGGAGGTAACCTGATATCTATAGATAATTATCATATCTTAATGCTTCCCACTAATCTATAGATTTAAAATTCTGATGGAGTAAGGAGACAGCATTATTTTCCTTTTTTATTTCAAGTATCTAGCTTGATCAAGAATCGGTTGAGATAGTTCAAAACCTAAATTGTAGTTATAATCCCATACTCGATACATGTACTATGATATAAAATAAATTTTTCGCTATCAAATTGGTTTAAGCATAACATGAAATGTTTCTTAAGGCAAGTTATAGGTTGCACCCACATGATATGTAGGAATGTTGATTAGAACATCGTTGAAATAGCAAAAAGAGAAACGATGGCGATCGTAAATTAATATAATTAAGAATATATCAGCTGATCAATTTTCGTTTGTCATTTTAGGTGTAAAATTTTAAATCCTACGACATAATGATAATCAAGAAAAGGTTTTCACATATTTTTATAATTCTATTAAAGTAATGTATAGGCTTTTTTTTATAGCAGATGCAATTTGGTTAATCTACTTCAAGTACGTTACGTAAATTAAACTTTATTGGAAAGACAGTAAAGGAGAAATATACGTAGATGTATTAGCAAGCTAATAAGCAATGCGATAGTTACTTCATAATAGTATGAAGAAAATAATATACAGTAGTTGCTGTTTTACAGGGTGCTCCTTTAGTAAATAGAGATTTGGTACATGTCATGGATTATTTTACGATGACGATATTATTACGTATAAAGTTAATCCAGTTTGAATCTGTGAAATTAGTATTTTAGCCATTGCGTTTGACGTTTTCGATGGCGATATTTATTGTTATGTCCAGTCCGAAAATTTCGAATATAATTGCAATTACGAATTTCTTCATATAGCTTAGGCAAATTCTCATTTTCTAATGGATGTTTTCGATTCTGATGTAAACGCAGTTTCAAAGTGGACGATTGAAAAGCAGATGGCTTCTTTGGATTATCTTTACTTGTATCATTATTAAGAACCGGATGATCAATATTATTATTATTATGGCGATCGTGGCTTTCATCTTCATTCAGTTCGGGGAATAATTCATCTAATTTATTAGCAAATCCTTCATTATCACGATTCTGTTTAGCTTGCATTGATTGTTGGAAGCGTTCTAGGTTTTGCTTTTCGATTTCCGTTAATAACGGCAATAAAGATGCTCGCCGACCCGTTAAATCGCTAGTCATCATATGTTTTTGTCGTCTATTAGTGGGTAAGATTATGTTATTAGGATCAACTTCAACTCGATTAAAAGCTAATGATTGACGACGGATTTCCATGTTAGTGGAAGTAGGCGGATGCATGAATTCAACTTTATGCTGAGGATGTTTGCTTGCATCATGATCTTGATTATTTGCATCGTTATCATCGTTTTGTTGTATAGGTCGTTTCCTTCTTGATTGCCAACGTCTCATTCTAGTTGATGATGATTCACTAATTTGGCTATCGTTGTCATCAGATTGCTGTAAATTATGATTACTGGATAATTGCGGAAGATGCACATCATTGGCACTGGTCTTGTTTTTGTTACTTTTACTATCACCATAATTTCCTTTTGATTTTAGTTTAGGTAGTTTTACATCATTGTGGATATCATAGTGTGATTTCCTTTGAGATTTTCTCCTTAAGTAATGATTATTATGAGCACGAGCAACTAGATAACGCCGATCTTCTTCACTTCTTAATAGATATGCCTGTTGCTCTTTCTTCAATAAACTGAGTTGTCTATCAAGCACAAAATCTTCCATTGCATTGGTAATTCGGACTGAATGAGACATTTCACTCGGTTTGAATTTATTCCAACGTAAGAGATTATCGTTAGCGTTGCTATTTTGTGACATTGCCATCTTCATAGAAGATAAAGGATTTATAGAAACGATATAAGAAAAAGTTTAAAGTTTATTTCTTCTCTTTCTTTACGCAGGATTGTTCGAAGAAAATTATAATTTTTAGATGGATGATTGAGATTTATAATTCTTTCTTTATTCCGAAGCCGATTAATCCGTTAATCTCTCTAAAGTTTCTGCTATCTAAATGGCTAAGCAATAAAAACTAGTATTATAAATCATTACCAGGTTCTATATTATGCATCGGCTGACAATATTTCTTCGTATGATTAGCTTGACTACACGGTCCGTTTTCTTTCCATTTTGGCACCAACTCTATCCTCATACAGAATATCGCTCGTTATCTCTTCATAGGGCCACTTAATGCCTTACTGAGTTATATTAATTTGTTGATGATGAAAGCCATGAGAGAGCTAAGATCGGATAAATAGGCTACTGTTATGATTAATAGCCTTGATCTTGTAGACAATGACCGTTACTTAGTAACCATATTAATGGTTCGTTGGATGATTCGGTAAATTCGCCATTAAGTAAATAACAAGTTTTGAATTAAATTTGAGCTACTGTTCTAACATTTTATGATTTTTTTGTCTATCGTATTGTAACAATTAAGGCAATAATAACCATGGTGATATCTTTTAATAACTATGAATACATTAAATTATTATATTTAACGTTAGAACGATTCTTACCACAAAAATAAAAAAAATTAGAATAGAAAACAATGCCTTCATTAAGATAGACCACTAATGCGTCGATTTCTTTGATGCCCAGGGGCTCGTTTGTCTTCCGTACTGCATGGACAGTATAATAATATTTACCAAGCATTAGTTTGGCTGAATTTATATCGTGTAAGCAGCAAACTAGAGGTCATGTAATGCGCGAGTACAGTGGGATACTTACTGGATTAATATTTATAATTTATAAATTACATACTTGCATAAGTTACAAAACGTCTTCGCTCAGCCGATGTGTTAATGCAGGATGCGCGTAAATTTATATAAGTCCATAATTATTGCTCTCGTACGTCAACTTAACACGCTTATGCAGTATTATATGGTTGTCATTCAACTAATTATATAATTCTCGTTAACTCTAGTACATAATGTGATATGTACATGCAGTATAAATTGCCAAATATTCCCCATTATAAACAGTGCACAATCGCTTTTATACATACTCTCAGCACGCTTACTAGGAAAAGATCGATCATTCAAATCTACTGAAATTGGTAGACTGCATCCAGATAAGAATTTTTAGGAGGTACCCTGGGCACCATCTTATCAGAAAAATCTCTCGGTCTTATTAAAATTTGATGTACTTAAATCGTAAATTAAAAGTATTCAGTTAGAAAATTACTTGAATGTTGCCAGTAAAAACATCTCAAAATGGAATTTAAATTTATAGAAACCCATGTTAGTGTCTTATCGATTACTAACGTACGTACATTCTTAATTTTGAAAAGATCAACTATACAATATATAACCGTGTAATTAAGATCATTACAGGCTATAGGTGTAGCTAGTGGATAAAATAGAGTAGTTAGCATTAAAATATTCACGAATGCTTTAAAAATAGTCTAATATCGGGCATTATCTGCAATTTGGAGACATTGCATTTGGACTTGGGCGTGAGTATTGACATCAAAGTACAGTCTTTATTATGAGAAAAAGAAACTTCCAGAGCTAACGTTATGGTTTACAGTAATGCTGACGTCATCGCCAACAATTAGCCAAGTTAGAAATCGACACGAATTCAGAAAAAACTAGACTAGATGATACAACAACTAGTTAAAATAAACAGAAACTCTAAGATAATGCAATACTTAGTGGTCAACTAACAACGAACGATACAGTTCAGCCGAATTTAGTAATAACAAACGTCATTAATACACAATATTTTACGGTATTCATATGTAACGAGCAAGAATAAGCATTTACTGCTTCGATTCAACGTATTTGTTTAAATCCAACGTTAATACTTTACTCATTGTGCATTCACCGTCCTAAAAAAATTATTAAGCAAAATGTTTAGGTGACTTCATAACACGAGCTTTAATCTGATAATACTGCAGCATGATAACGCAATTTTACCTCTGAATATATTCCAACTAATGAGTCTGCATAATGGTAGAATTCCTCCTTCAGTGATATAACGATACATTGACAGTTTCGTTTAGTCTCACTACAAATGTATTTTGCAACCTATGATGAAATTTATGAGGCAGAAAAGTACCATTTATGTAAGAATACCCAATAAAAGACATAAGTATAGCAATGTAATTTCATCTTACAGTGTTAATATTGGTTATGTCTAAAGACGCATCAATTTCGTCCAATACGAAGAACGGAGACGGCTGAAAACTAATATACAGCAATTAGTTATGATTAAAAAGACTTACAAATTTAAGTTCTATGGATTTCCATCACTTAATAGAACATTACGATACCTATGTATTGAAAACAGCAGCGCCAGGGCTGCTACCGTTTTTTCGCCACCAGAAAGATTATCCATAGGGCGAAATCTAAAGAAGTAAAATACTTATTAGTCAAAAAAAGTTTATTTAAATCTTTAGTAGCAGTGCCGTGGGTGTCATTAAACCTTTTCCCTGGAGCAACACAATTGTAATTGATTCCATCTAAGTAGGGCTCCTGTGCAAAAAAGTCGGTAGACAAGCATATCAAATATAAGCGTATATGAATAAATACTGAATTTTTATCGCAACATTATACAGTCAAGGCAACTATTTACTTCAGCATTTTCCGGACCAAGAAAAGCTTGAGCACTAGCATTGTCCGCGATATCCTAAACGCAATCAATAATCAATAACTTTATAATGGCTAACCATATTAAAACTTAGATGTGGTGCTGTACCTTGTAAATGTTATCAATGTGATCGGCAACATGTTCGAATGCATCCATGAACAAATCATACCTATAATAGTTTGATAAATTGATTCTTACTGTCAGGCATGGTGTAACTAGTATTACCATAGTCCGGTATACTAAAAGAGTACAGTACCTTCTCTTACGCACAGCCTCAAAATCAGTTTTCGCTTTACGGGCCCTCTTTCGAGCAGCTTCGAATTGATGAGATGTATCAGCCAATCGTGCATTTACTTGGTCTAACCTAAAATATTAAAAATTTTTAGAGATAAATGTAGCGAAGCCTATCTTTAAATCACTCTCATATGCCTTTTACCTTTCCCCAGCCTTCATGTTTGGAGCAGATATAGTAGATAGTAAATTTTGCAATCGTTTCACTTGGCCGCTTAACTCCTCATTTAATTCCTTGTATTTTGGCACGTCTTCAGCATTATTATATTGCTTTGGTAGACTTGTATAGTCTATCTGAACTTCGGATAACTTAAATTTCAAGTCCTATTCACAATAAATAAAACGTCAATCAATATTACAATATCAGCATATTGTAAATAGAACTAAGAATTTCAATACTAACTGCTTGATCAGTATCATCATCAACTTCCATAGGCTCCTCTGTATCTAATAATTCTCTTTCTTGCGCTGATGGCTCCTACCGTAAGATTTGAAAATAGTTATATTACAGAATTAAAAGAATTTGGCGTTTACTACTACTCACCAATTGAAGTTCATCAACTGTTGTTCCGATTAAAGGGATTTTTATATTTTCGAGTTTACAAGTAATTAAGATACCGTTCCGATCATTTAACAATTGTTCTTTTCGATTTTCCTGCACGTAATCAATTTTTAATATAATTCTAGCGATCGATCAGCTAATAGCTTTACTGATTAACCAATTATAATTATCATACCAATGATGACATATTGTTACGTTCAGCCGCTATTTCCTTGCTCTTTTGATTAAAGTGTTTCTTTAATTCTTTCACTTCTGTTTCTTTATCTTCAATAACTTTATTTAAACGAGCTTTCTTAACTTGCAATTCATTTATTATCTCTTCCATTTGATCAATTTTCTCTTGTAGCTTATCTTCATCAACTTTCGATCGCTTTAATTCCATTTTGTCCGAATCAATTTGGTTTTCTGTTTTTGTTACTACAGCTATAGTATCGCGCTTTAATTCGTATTCAAGCTAGTTAAAAAAGCGTAAAAAACTTTCATAAGTGAATGGTAATTTTTCGAATAATTTGATATCACTAGTAAGAAACCTGGTGTTGCAATTTTGATTTTTGCGATTGTATTTCCAATCGACGTTTCGATTGACTCTGTTGTCTATTCAGCATTTTGTTTTCATAATGTCTAAAAAAATTTCGTAACTAAAAGTTAGCACAATTACTTACGTGCAAAGTAGTATAAACAAATTTATTATCAATTTATTTCTAACCGTATATTTTCAACTCCGATTGACTGACAGAATTCACTGAATACCTTGATGAAATCATTATAGCACGGAGAATACAAATTAGTCTAAAGCTACATAAATGATTCTTAATGTATTATTATACCTGATCTTCAATTTGGTTGATTTGATTTCTTAAAGAATCTATTTTATCTTTTCGATTTAAGACTGATTTTTCTAGCTTTGCAATTACGGTCTAAGTAAATAGCTAATATTAATATGCACACAGCAATCCAGTAACAAAAAATAAAGATTTAAAGATCTGAAAGACAGATAACCTTTGTTTCTTGTAAAGCATCTCTAACTAACATTAAATCTTTCTTTTTCTCTTCCAAAGTGACATTCTCCTATTAAATGTCGGTAATTATTATGATAATACGATAACAACGAATACAAAATTCGAGAAGCTTATGTATACAAAAACTTACGTTAGTATCGCGATCATTTTTACTATATTTTAAGCGATTCGTCAGTCCGTCAATTTTTGACTTAAGATTTTGTAGCTCAGGCTCCTACGATTATAGGCTTGTTTAGGAATATAATGCGAAACGATTATAATTGATATATATTAAATCCAAAGAGTACTTTTCTTTTGATCCGGGTAATATCTTTGAGTTCGTTTCGACAACGATCTCGAGAACGCTTTAAGTTATCTACGACCTAGAAAAAGTGAAACAGAATTATAATAACTTATGCAATTATAATTTTATACAAAGAATTGATATTTAAAAACATACTTTGTCATCCCATCTCTTCGCTCTCTGCTTTAAATCACTTAAGTATAATTCAAGAAGAAAATAGTTAGGACAGCATTTAATTAATTTAAATTAAATACTAGTACGTCAATGACAAAGTCAAACCTTGCACCACCAGAGATGACCCCAGATTTACTAAATAATGATCCATCTAAAGCTACAACCTTCTTCCTTGTTGAACCATTAAATGCCAATTTTCGAGCTTCTTCCATCGAATCAGACACGAGCGCATTTCCAGCAGAATATTCAAGTGCTTTCTATAAATAATATTTCACATCGAAACTTATTTTAAAAATTTACAAGGGGTAAGTTTGCGTCTTGCGACCTATTATAAATCTATGATTGTGCCTAAAATTATAGATTTTACCTTGATTTCTGGAGGATCATACTGGATTACGTCGAGTATCATCTTAGCTGTACCGCCAACAGATCTAATATGTTCAATATGTTTGATATTAACTTTTCGTCCTCATCCATTTGATACTTATTTTCAAGCAATGATACCTTAAAGCTTCATTGATAGGCTTCGGCCTAATACCATCAAGGGGTAGAAAAGTTGCTGGCTCGATATGCTAAATATTTGTCAGATGGTTAAATTTTAACCTGAATAATTACATTAATTCATAACTTGCATAATATAATCATAGCCGTTATACCTGTTCTTTGAAGTATTCAATACAATCGCGAGCAGTTTTTTCAGTATTTACAATTATAGAATCCATGTCCTTGGCCAATATTTTTGTTACAGCAATCGAATATCTTTAGAAATAAAGCTGATTTCAGTTAATTATAAAAGAAATATGAAAATTATAAAGGATTACCTTGAATGTATCGGCTCACATAGGTCTACCATACGCCCAAACTAAATAACGAGAAGGAAAATACAGAATTAAAAATAGTAAACATACATATATGAGCAAACGGTACAATACTGATTTATACATACCACGCCAGGGAACATTTCTTTTAGTCGATCGATTAATTCTCTCCTTTTCAGATTACGATGGCTCTCTTGATTATCAGCGTTCGCTTCACTTAGTTTGGAAGTAACTTCTTCTAACTCATGATTTAACTCTTTCTGTTTACCAGTAGCTTGACTATGATATATATCCGATTACAATTTATTTCTGGATTAATATGCCAAAATGTGCAGTATATATTATCATTAATTATCCGAACCGTAATTCTTCCGATATCGTGTCGAAATCTTGTTGATATTTATTCAATTCTTCGGTATTTGCACTTTCATGGTAAGATCAAAGACGAAATGTCAACAATTTCGAGTATAAAGGCTTAGGTAAGGCAATAGTAATAGTTTTCTAACCAACCTAATATACTTAGATAAAGTTTCTATTCTCTGCTCAACTTCATTTCTGTAATCAATTACACAGGTTCCGAATAGTAGCATAATTAGATTGATGAATTTTCCATGATAATAAAGATAACATTAACACTGTATGTGTGGCATCGTTCCACGAATAAACTACAACAAGATATGCAATGGCATAATTACTTTTGATCCAACAATTGCTTTTCTTGAGCTAGCATGTCTTCCCTTCTTTGTTTGCTACTTTGTAATTTCTTTTGATCGTCGTCTTGATCTCTTTCAATCTTAAGCAGTAAAGAATTGGTTCAATTATTCAGACTCAACAATATCATAGTTTCAAAGTGATTTCGCTCAGGCTATACTTTGTTCAGTTCCTGTTTAAATTTGGTAGAAGTTTTCGCTACTTGCTCCTTAAGCTTTGTGTACTCGTGAACCTAAAAAATTTCATATTTTAATGATCCGATGGTAATACCAGCTACCACATAATGTAGCGGACAATAATTCGACTGTTTCATTATTTAAAGCACACTTGAGATTCACGCAGCCTTATGCTTCTAACATCCTCTTCTTCTCTTAATTGCTTTTCATATTCATCTTCTAGTTGCATGACATTATTGAGCTCATTCTTTAAACATTTAATCTATGGCAAGATGCAGAATATTGATTACTGGAGTTAGTACTGAACTGGCAACCTATATATAATACACCATTCACTCAATTCGCATACATCGTCTTGATGCTTTAAATGCGCGGCTTTGTGTTTATCAAGCTTTTTACTAAAATGTAATATATTGAATCATTAATCAAAAGTTACACAAAAATATATCAGCTGTAGACGTTGCTACTACGGTACGTACTTCAGACCATCAATCCGTTTCTTAAGGTGAAGTGATTTTTCCTTCGCTTTAATATATTGTGGGCGTAATATAATTGCCTCGGCTTCCTATCAATTTTAATTTGTTACAATGCAAATGAAATCACATGAGATCGAAAAGTAGAGTAAAATTCAAGCAACACAGTAAAGTATATTCGTCAAAAATCGTACGGCATTAAATAACCTTTTCTTGTATTTTTTTATCCAATACTGCAATTTCCCTAGAAACCTTAGCAGATTCCTGCTTCTTTGATCTCAATTGTTGTTCTATATTACTACATCTTGATTCCTATCACAAAATGACAAGAAAATACATCTTTCAACTATAAAACTGTTATAAAGTTCGTTATCTGGCTATGAATTGAAATTTTTACACACATGTAAATACCCATATATCAGTACTAACCATTTTTGCCACTTCTTTTTCTTTCTTATCTAAAGTTAATGATAGATTTTCTATTTTCTTTTCATTGTAGAGCAATTTGAATAATTGATAGTGGACCTGGGCTGTAGACTACGATCGTAATAACATGAAGGAAAGAAATTGCCTTAAGTCTGATAATAAATTTGTATGAAATGAGCAGGATAAATTACCAAGTCGTCTTTGACATTAAGATATTTATCCGCTTCTTCTTTTTCAGCTTTTGCAGCTCGTCGCTCAGCCGAAATACCCTATTTGTAGTGTGAAGATAGAAGGTGATAATTGGGCTACAAGGCAAAAATTTTATTATCTTGTGTACACTATCTGCTAGTACACAAAATCATCAAAAAGCTAACCTTTTTTTTATGCATATGAAAAGTTGTGTCTTCTTCAGAGGATTGCATATCGCTTTTAGTTTGTAAGTAATCTTGTTGTAATTCTCCCGAGCTACAATAATTAATATATAATTTGCAATTTAGTAGCCTGTAACATCACTGTTGTACTTTCTGTTAATGTCCAGAATAAAAAAGCAAGAATTCATGTCATCAATTAATTATTACCCGCTGATTTGCTCAAATAACTGAGTTCGTTCCTTTGGTGTTTTCAAAGCGATAGACTCAACCGTCCCCTAAGTTAAATTTTTGTTCATGTGCCTCTTATGAGTATACACAAGATACATTCATCGCTCAACTATTATACGTAGCTATAACTATGAGAGTCAAAAAGCATCTTTCATGGGCGAAGAAGCAAAAAAATTAACCTGAAACACTAAAAAGTTTCTAGCTTTAATAGAGATTCCTAGATTTTCCAACTTTTCTTGATACTGACTGTAAGGAACTCCCTAAAAGAAAGTAGGAAATAAAATTTTTGACTGCTCACGATCTATCATTTCAGCTACTTATGGGTTGTATAGTACAATCGTAAAAAGTAGATATACATAGTCTTATCAATTACCTTGTTGTTTATTCTGTATTCAGTACCAGAGCCAACAATACTTCACAATGAACAAAAACATTCAAATTATATCGTTCGTAGTTCAATTTCATTTTTATCAGAGTAAAGAGACAAAAGCTATCATTTCATTATGTCATAATATATAGGTCGTAACTTCTTACAATAAAATTTGTTGTAGTAAAGTATTATAGATACACTTAATTAATCAGCTAACCATCTCGTAAATCTTATTTCTGTTTCATCTTCTTCAGTATAAACTGCTGTAACTTGAGCTTTATTGGAGACCGGTTTATGAATGGGCGCTCCATGAATTAAATTCTATATTACGTGTAGCACAAATTAAATAAAAGAGTATCATATATAACTTGGCAAGAGAATGGAATTCTTATCAGCTATTGTAGCAATATAAGGCGAACACAAATTTGTTAAAGTTGTAAACTATTTCGCAAGTGATGAAATACTAAATGAACATTACCATGAAACAACTCACTTAGTATACAAGGCTAATCAATTTCATTAACAGAAAAATATTAAAGTGACAGTTCCTCAGCAAGCGTTTTGGATTATTTTTGAGACCTACCTTCACTGAACGAACTCGTAAGTTGCTCGTTTTTTCGCCAAGTACGAAACAAATAGCATCCATCAAATTCGATTTGCCTGTAAATACATTTTATTGGATGGTTTTATTGAACGATGAAAACATACTATTATTCAAATTCATTATTGTCATTACTACATGTCATTAGAGAATAGCACGTATCTTTATTTTTGAGAAAATAAATAGTGTTCTTCAGCTTCAAGTAATACATATAGCTAAAACTAGAAGAATAGTTGTCTATAAACATTTTCGTTACCCGAGCCATTAGGTCCTATAATAGCAGTAAATCGCTTAAAAGGTCCAATAATTTGCTTTCCTTTGTAAGATTTGAAATTTTCTATCTCTAACTGCGTCAAAATACCCATCGAGCTTCTTTACAGCGGCTAATAATTGTTACGTGTGGATGGTTAAGAAATGCAAAGAAAAATAATCATTACATAGTCGGTAGCATAAATAGCGAATCTTTTCATTTCAAATATATAACATTCATCTAGATGCACAGTATTACAGTAATAAGGTTGATAAACCTAATATTGGGGAATTATCATTACGTCCGTTGTGATAGAACAACTTTAACATTGTTGGCTGCATAGCTGAGTATGCATTGCTCGCATTATCAGTATCCAATAAAAGCTACTACTACTATCACACAGGCAAACTTCGATAACTACAGTACTGTAGTACGCTAGTATGGAAGTTAGGCCTTCGCGACAGAAAGCGAAGATAAATTTCGTAAGGCTACAGTGCTCTCACGACAACATTGTTCTAACTCTGCTGTACATTACTGTACATACCAACGAGTAGCAGACTTGTATAGTTGACTTTGATAATTAATCAATTTAGGTGTATTTTTTTCCTATCTTGAATGACAAGTACCTATAAAATGGGGAAAATATCATATAAAATAAGTTAGACCATGCAAATTCAACAAATTACTGCACTTGACTGGCAAAGTGAGCTAGATTGACTACAGCCTGCCGGTTGTAAATGATTTCTGTGTAATCAGTCAACAGTCCAATGCCCTACAAGGTGTTTTACCTTTTATACACTAATACTGTATAAAATCTTTATACTAGTAACGTATTTACTTGGACAAGGGTTTAACTAACTTATATAATATCTTCAATTTGACGTAGAAGTGAAATTTATACATTGAATTTAAATTTGACTGTCAGTTTACTAGTCATTTGGATTATTATACTGTATCTATGGACAGACCTATTGTATGAAAGGAGTGGAATGGTACATTGATGATTTAGTGATACCACACCATTCTAATTCTTCACTGAAGTGGAGATAACAACTATAAGAGGAATCAAGAATGACGATCCTACGACAAAAAGATTGACGTTCATTGAACAGAGTAAAACAGCCCATGAAGAAGATGCCAACTTACCAACGTTTCAATGACAACCAAGGAGAAAGCGAGGTCTGCCTGCACAACGCTATGGACGAGTGTTTTTGACTATGTGTGATGTACTTGTCCGTACTTGTCGCTTTGAGCAAAAATACAGTGTCAAATGAAGTAAGGATAGCAACTACAGTATTAAACGGATCAACAATGACGATCCTACAGCAAAAGATGGACGTTGAAGAATAGACTAGCAGTCAATAAAGAAACTATTTGCCAACTTACCAACTTTCAAAGACGACCAACGAGAAAGCGAACCTTCTTGCACAATGCTAAGGAGAGTCTTTATGGCTGACTATGCTTGCTGTGCTTGTTGGTCCTTGTCGCTTTGTGTACACTGTAGTAGAGACCGTACTGTCCAGTACCGTACAGTGTACAGTGTACAGTGCTAAAATATAGTCGACTGCGCACAGTAATATCTGTAGTGTTTTGGAACTTTTGCTTGCAGTAGAGTGTATGGTATAGCTCTAAATTGACTATACTGTACTGAAGACAGGGACTACTCGTGCAAACTGCCACTGAGCAAACGCGGTACAGTACTACAGTACAGTCAGTGTACACTGTACACTGGAGTAAGTATTTGGCGGGAAAATGAACACTAGGTGCTAAAAGCCAATACATTCCAGCCAGCTGAGCTAGATTTCAAAACTAGAAATTTCATAATAGAAAATGGCATCTCCGATGTAATTCACTAAGACTCGCAATGGTAGCAATGAAATGACTGTGTAGAGCAGGCCCTACGAATGCTGTATTATTGTTAGCATCACAACCATCGATGTCGTGCATATTGGCATTGTACAATGTACAATTGTAAATGTCACCGAATCACGATAGTATTGGGACATATTTAGATCCAAACTACAGTAGAACAGGATTAGGCACCCTGTATCGTACTTCAAGTTAGAAAATATCGTGAAGACTTACCTCAAAGATCATCATAATGTTTCTGTCATGTCTGTTGCAAACTATTACTGCAAATACCTATGATCTTACTTGTTTAGAAGTTGTGGACAAATCCTGAAGTTAGATGATATGCGAAATCATGCAAATGCATTACCCTTCTTTTATGTGTTTTCCTATATAGTGGAAAAACTACTTCGAATGATCGAACTTTCGTAATAAATAACTGTATTACTATCATTAAATGTAAAATCAGAGTTTTAATCATGACAAAAGCAATGAGATTTACAAATCACTCTTACAATGAAAAATTATTTTGTAATTCCAACGCTACTTCTTGTCACAAAGATAAATGTAAGATTATACTAGGTATTATAGAGAAATATTTTAAATATTACTTTGGTTTAGCTACATTACAAATTAATCTTACATTGTTCAATTACATGTAATCTCTTTTACTGCTGCACCTGGATGTTGGAAGTTAGGAATATGGATGCTAGACTTTCGATAAGTAAATTACACGTACAACAAAGCTATCTTAGCCCGTTAACTGGTTATTACACTCGTATTATGTAAGGAGTGGCTAGCTTAACCTGAGCACAACTCCGGCTATGATTCGTGAAGCAGTAATCATAGCATGATGCTTCAAAATAGAGTTTAATAAGCAATGAATAGCAATACATGATTAAAACATGTGAGATTAAAAATTTTCAAATTACAATTTGGAATAACAAATCCAGCATTAACAAATATTTTTAGAGGATATCATTATTACCCAAATATCGCTCGCTTTTATTTTCATGCTATGCAACAGCATATATCTCGATCGGTATCAGTACGCAGATTTTGCTCATTAACTGATATAAAATAAATTATATTCTAGCCGTTTTATCGATCGATCGATCTCGGCAATAAATTGATAACTTGCCTTACATCTGGCACAATAAGTATTCCGACATGAAGGCAATATTCTTATTTGTACTACGATATTAAATTTTCTACGTACGGTATAATACATCAATAATAAAGTCATAATTCGTTGCCAACCTTTAGTATGTACTCTGTTGATTACATATTTAGAAAATCATATTCACGCTGAACACGAAGGGTAATGTTAAGTTCTTCTTTTGCTTTATCCCATTGCGCTTTACCATTTTTACTGTCGACTTTGTGTGGAAGATATAAAGCTAATTTACTAAAAAGAGATAATATTAGGAAATAGATAATAATTAGCGAGTGTGGTATGCCTTTCTAGGAATGGAATATACTGTAAATGAATAATCCACATTAATATCAAGTAAGAATAACAATCTATACTAGTATAAGCATTAACTGCTACAAGTTCAATGTATGTCCATAACTCACTATTTTGGGGAACGAAGATCAAGAAAGGTATCTGTAACTTGTAGTTCCACATCATTCATAGTAGTTGCTGGGAGTTTAATCTTGATCTTATGTATGAATAATTGAAGAACAAACAAAAAAGGTAAATAATCGATCATATGTGTAATTCTAGATTAATTTTAGATAAATTAAAAGAGATACCATTAAATTTTCACATGATGCAGTAGATTGATTTTTTTGTCCCATTTGTAAGTAGACATCCTCGCTTGAGACACTTTGAGAAAATTTTAAGTCATATCTAAATAGTATAAACAAAAGATATAGATGTTACATGAGTATATTAGGAATATTAATTAAAGTTTATAAACATATTTTTGCTAAAGCTTGATGAGTCTACTCACTCAGGCTGCTCACGTGGATCCAAGGAATCATCAATGTCTACATCATCAAGAACTTCACTATCATCCCAAATATCTTTACTTTTGGTCTTTTCATTGGCCTTTTTTTCATCTAGTCATAGTATCATACAATATAGTGCAAAAAACTTGACTTTTAATTTCCATTGTAGAGGGTACGAAAACGGATAATATCATTTACAGTAATTATAATGACCAACTAACATCAGGCTAGTTAGTTGTGTTTAAATGATATCATGTTTTGCTATGCGGCTGGTGATTAATTACCTTGGTTGTTACTTGTTTTCTTTTTGGGAGGGCCAATATGAGAAGGATTGATGTTATGGCCTGTTGAAGTTATCTGCAAGTAGTTAAAATCATAATAAGACTGTTATCTTGTCCACTATTCTTTTACTATTACTCATATAGTATTGGTGTATAATAGAATTAAATATAGAACTATAATTTTGAATGGCATGATTGAAATTATTCTATGGTGTTATAGTGGATATAGAATCATAGTTTTGAACGATATGATTTAAATGAAATTGCTACGTTACAGCATAGTAGGACTGACTGATTATATTGATTACAATACAGTACTAGTATCGTATTAGACTATCACGTACGCTATCATTACATAAGATAATTTGCCTGTATTTGATGTTAGCAATGAATTTAAATTGACGAATTTAGCAATATTTCGTCATCTGAGTATTGATACTGTAGGTCAATGCTTTCAAACCTTTTCTTTGCGCAAGGTTAAAGTAGTAGAATGTTACTGTATTGTTTAGAGTTTTTTTTGGGGGGGGGAAGTCGATAATTGACGTTTATTGAACCCAGAAGCGTAAATTCGTTAGTATGCTACGGTGGCTAACATTGCTAGCATTTATGCAATCAACGTATAGGTGAACTAGCGGGGCCTAGCGCATACCAACGTATATTAATTCCGTAATTATACGCGCTTATCGTATACTGTATTTATGAGTATGAATTAGATTAGTGACAATATCAATATTTTGGATAAATTTGCGTTTACTAACTGTAATTACTGGATTTAGTGTTTAGCAATGAATATGTGATGGAATTTTTGAGCCAAATAGTAAAATACTCGTTTACATAAAAGTTGAAAACTTACGTCATCGTCATCTATATCATCCTCATTTTTAGGATTCAGGAGGCTATTTAAATGCTGGATATAATTGGCGTTGCTATCCATATTTCGTATTGGTATTGATTGATCAGACTTGGAGGGTTTATAGCAGTGAGCACTGGCTTCTACGAGCGGATAACCGGTCGATTGTTGTCGTCTTCTTCTATCCTGTACCCAATCGTCCCGAGCTTGAATTGCAAATATGTATAGGCTGTACTACAGCACGAGTATACCCTCTACTTTGCAGTTAGCTATAGTTGTGGTATTAGTAAATTGTCTAGTAGATATTGTAAAATAAGCGAGTAGTGAATATGGAATTGTTGTTGTAACCAATCTGCAATTCGTTTCGCCAACAATTTCAGTTTAATAACAGTCATGCAGTGTCGATAGGGTGCTGTAGTCACCATGGTTTCCAGGCGTTCCGCTTTTATGATCTGTACAGTGTACAGTGAGTGTAGCGACACTGCGATCCAGTCAATTAGCTCTGTCCGGACCGGGTGCACGGTGGTTAGTGACATTATTTTTACTAGCGATTTCCAGTATCTGTGATCATGGACGAGTGTGTAATATGCAATACACTAGCATCTAGCTAAGATATCTAGCACACTCGTTCAGTCTCACGCAGAAATAATGTCGCCTATGGAGATAGTCACGTCATTATTTTACCGTTGTACAATGTACTGTACATACTGTAGAATGTACCGTATGGACACTGTACAGTACAGTACTGTACTGTACACTGTAGAAGCAGGGACTTCAAAGGGGAAGTACTGTACTGTACGTATTGGGTGCCGAAATCGCAAAAGGTGCACACGACGCCCAAAAGTTTTTAACTTCAAAATAAATAACATGGCCCGTTAATATGCAATTGCCAACTGTGGATTTTTCAAAACATGTTTGCTGTAGTTTACTTCATTGAATTTTAATTATACCACTGGTATTTCCACTATCCTATAGACTATCGATTGGCCTGGGATTGTAGTCCCTAAATTTTTTTGTGGAGGGTTGGTATTTCTTTACATTGAAGCGTACACGTACTTGATTGTCTGACGTGTTGAAGTAGCGACAGTTAATTGGACTGACTGGAGTAGAGTGGATCGAACGACAACATTGAAAATGCCGCAATCCAATTTCAATGTCAAATATTCCTTGCAACCATCGATTACAGTAGTCAAGAGATGGATCGAGGTAAGAATGTTTGTTAGGATACCTTATGACCATAGCGATCTTGCTATTAAGCCATAAAATGCGAATAGAAATAAAGGCGATGGAAAGTATCCACTAGTAATAGTTCAAAGTAGTCGTTTTCATTTTCGTCACTGCCTTTTTACAACGGCTTCCTTTGAAAATGTCCTACCATTGCTCCTTTGCCAAAAATAGCGTGAAACTTCCTATCTGACGCATAGTCTTCAAGTCAATGACCATGTTATGATTACATCTAATGTGAATGGACGATGGACTACGGTAGATGAGTAAAAGTAAAAGCTGATTTCATTGGCATAATTTGCTTTAGTTTAATGTCTGAACGAGAAGCAATCCCCCTTTCTTTAGTTCATGTTCGATCAGTTTTCGTGGTGAATTGCTTCTACTTAGAATTATCAAATGGGATTGAATTGAACGACATTTAGACTCAATTATCCGTGATGGTAGTCTATCGACTCTGTCAATATGTACATTGAGGCATTATCCACATGTAATGGCTGCACAACATGACTTGAATAACGTTGGTCAAAGAACATCCGTTCCAAAAATACGCTTGATCCTTCTTGCAAGCATCCGATAGCCATATTGCAAGCAAGTCCAGCATATTATCCCCTTTGAAATTCAATGTTATTTCTATAGTAATACTAATTTTGTAGCTGCGTTCAATGGTTGCTTAACTTACTCACTGTGCGACAAAAGGAAGTTATACGATGTACTAGACTGAGCACCTTGACGTACATTCCATTGGGCGACACTACTAACCTACTTTGCAAGAAACTGCAGTAAACGGCTTGACGTGGAAATATTTTCCGCTGTTACTTTCAGCATTTCCTTAAATTGACTTACTCAATAAGCAACGCTACTCAAAAGAGGACTATCTAAGCTATTAGTGAAAGTACATTGCAAGAAACTGCAGTAAACACCTTGATGTCGAAAGATTTTTTCCGCTACTACATTTAATACAGTATACGTGTACGTATGTCCTAACCTTAAATTGACTACTCAAGGGCGACACTGCTAAGAGGACTTTCTACATTTAGTGAATATATGTTGCAGGAAACTGCAGTAAACGCCTTGGCGTTGAAAGATTTTTTTTTTCATCTGCTACATTCAATACGTGCATTTCTTTATATACTGTAAATTGACCTACTCGATCGGCTACAATGTTAAGAGGACTTTCTATATTAGTGAATGTGCTTTGCAAGAAACTACAGTAAACATACGCGTATTATGCCTTGGCTATCAAAATTTTTCCTTTAATTTATTATATAATATTATTTTACAATTGCCATCAATAATTGACTTACACAATGAACGACAACGCTAAGAGGACTTTCTACACCAGTGCACAAACTTTGCAAGAAACTGCAGTTAACACCTTAGCGTTGAAAGATTTTTCCGTTATGCATTCAACATTTCCTGGAATTAACTTAATCAATAGGCGACAATGCTAAAGGGACCTTCTACATTAGAGAGTGTATTTTGTAAGAAACCCCAGTAAACATATTACGCCTTGGCGTTTAAAGTTTTTCCGCTAATTATCTTGTAACTGCATTTCCTATTTACTCAATTAGGTTAATTTGGGGCAAAACTTGTAGGATATTTTAGATTAGTATCCCTTGCAAGCAACTGCAATAGTAAACTTTCACATCCGTTTCCAAGCTTTTTAGCTATTGCTTGATTTTATACGTACTGCGCTCAATATTTCCTTAAATACCCTTGCTAACGTGTCATAGCTTGTGTAAAGTATTTACTGGGAATGTTATGATTACAAAATAGTTTATCCTTAAATAATTTGCCCCACAAGTGCTGATGAAAGTGGCGTAGACTTTACGCGCCTGTTGAAAATGTTATTGGTATTAAATTAGAAGCAACTGTTTGATAGATCAAGTACTGTAAATGGTATCCCAAAATACGTATCGCACAACTCTTGTACGATGATGATACATATACTGTAATGCTGTACAATTGTGCTGGTCTTGCCAGTAAAAGCATTGGATATCGACCACACTAGACCTCGGATCTTGTAGTTAATTGAAATAAACTAAGAGAAAAAGTATATCAATACTTTGATTGTAGAATGTACAACGAATAAATTAAAAAAGTTCATTTCACTTTATTAAGCCAAGAGAAGATGTTGTTAATCATTTTTTTGATAGGTTGAAAAGTATAGTGCAGTATCTCTTTCAGCGAAGCAACCGGATATTGAGCTAGCAAAAACACTATTTTAATTACATTACTTGGTAAACTGGAATGGCGCTTTACTCGTACATACTTACAGTAAACATTGTGTTCTATTTCAGCTATAGCACAGCGGTTAATGTTGACTTACGCGTAGGATTGATTGATAGAATACGCTTGAATAAAAGGAGCTACTTAGAATCTTCCTTGTCAATTCGAACTACAGTAGATGAGTATCAGAGATGACTTCTACGGTAGTACGATATTTTGCGATTACTAGTTTTGTAAACGTATTACTTTTAATTCTGATTTAAAGTAAAATTAGAGAGTATTACATCCGACGGGCGATCTAGTAAACACCGAAATGTTGTAGTGCTAGTTATTGTCGCGTGGTATAGTATTTGTCGACAGTATTTTATAGTTCTGTATATTTCTTCTCGCAATTACTGTATCTTAATTGTAAAACGATCATATGTTGTTATGCCATGCTATACAGCATGTTATACTTTATACGATATCTTTACAAGGCAATACTGTACTAACATCACAGTGGTTACGTTGTCATTTAACGGCATATCTTGCGACTTGGACCCAATAAAGATTGAAGTATAGCCCTCAACCGGAAAATATCTATTTGTCCGTCTTATCTTTGTCTTTTCGTTTTACTTGTAAATTATCCACCGTAATCCATGTTGTCATTTGTTTACGGCATATCTTGGGATTTGGACCCAGTTAATAATTACGGGTATAATAGTTCGGATTCGAGCCGTCTATGGGAAAATATCTTTCATCCATTACTATATTTTTATCCTTACATTTGACACATACTTTCTATCGTATCCAGTCGTACTGTACAGTATACGTACGCAAAAAGATAACTGACTTTGGTAGAGTATTTCAAGTTATTAAAAAGCATTGGATGCAATAATTGAATGCGGTAGAAAATTGAACAATGCGGTCTATCAGCTATCCATTAACATAACGCACTAATTGATAATAAAGAGTAAATTACCATTTGCAATTTAATCCAATTAAATTTAAATAATTAATGTAAAATTAACCGTACTCTGCTTGCATCTGCCTGCGTGATGTCGTACTCGTAGAGTTAAAAGGAACTCTATGATCGTACTTGAGTTTAGAGCTGAAAGTACGGTAGCTTCATCATTCAATTTAAAAATAGACTTGCTTTAAGTACATTACGTTTGGATAGCGCTATTTTTATTATAATTTTAATTGGAACCGTAATGTTATAAACTATATCGCAATGTAGAGTATAATGTTATTCTAATAGTATAATTATTAACTTTAATCCTGAAGTAAGACAATTAAAGAATTAATAAGTTGTTTTTTTTGGCTGGATTGTAGGAGGCAACGCTAAGAGATATTCCTGACAATAAGATTATGCAACTATTACAAGATGGTATCTTATTGTGCGAGTATGTTCATATACGTATTTACTGCCCTAATAATAAGATGATTCTTCTACATTGTTGTTGTAAAGGATTATGTTCATAAAGTGTACTATGCGTATCAGGTAGTAGTCTTGATATCCGCGTTTAACTTTCTTATAGATTGTTATGTCACATTAAACCGGGCTTAATTACAAGACTGAATACAGATGGTACTGAGGAAGCTTGGCTGGTAAGCATCGCTACTAATTTACTTTTATTGTATCTAACTCCTTGAAAGAATAGACTACTTCTTGATTTAACTTTCGCTCATTTTGTTACATCAAGCTTCAGTACAAAGTTAAATAATCGCAATAATGAAATATAGAATAACAGATTTGACTTTCAGACCTATATTACTACATTCATTTCCTTAGAGTTATCATTGAGACATTAACAATATCGCTATTTAAGCATAATCAGTAACTGGAGAAGAAGAATGCCGCTGTTATAGCGCCTCTTAGTCATCTAACGATCCAACATACGTATTCATAATTGCTATCTTAAGCAATATATTAACCTGTTGCTACTA